ACCAAAATAATTCTTCCTTCCTTAAGTTGTGGCTGATATTTTCCTTCCTTGAGTTGCATTGGTTAGGTATTTTGTCATAGCAATGAGGAAAATGTCCAATACACCTTCATTTTGCTTTGTTTTCTAAGGTCTTAAGATAATTTGGCTCACTGCAGAGACCTCAGAACTTCTGTGAGAACAACAATGAGGACCACAGCAATAAGATGTGAATGACTACCATTTCTTCCACAAAACAGTAAGAATGGAGCTTTCAGGGATGAAAAGACAATGAGGTGCAACTAAATAATTCAAAACTCCTCCCCTAACAAGCTGTCGTCAGAAACAGAAATGGCAAAAATAGAGCTGAAGCCTTCACAGCTGGAAGCTCCGGCAGAAAACCAGGACACTCAATGCAAACTAGGTTTTACACAATAGCTTCTATGCCTGAAAATAAAGCCCAAGTCTACGGTGGAAATGAGGGCAAGCTCTTCAATTATGAAGTTCAGAAGCTCCCAGGCTGTACATGAACAAGTTCAAAGGAGGACTGCCTTCCTTCTTCGGTTCTTAATAGAGGAGCATGATTTTATCAATTACATGCTTCTTTTAATGAACATAGACTTGCATTACATGTTAAGATGGATAATATCATATGGAATTGCAATGTGAGAATCTAAGGCAGGACAGAAAAACAAAGTTTAGGGACCACAGGAAGGCGTAGGAGGCTTTCACTTGAGCCTGGTTGTCTTTTTACTAGTTAAGAGTCCAGAATTCTGACACAACTAACAAATCTGGTGTAAAGAGTGTCTATATAGACCAGATGTGATGGTGCACACCTTTAATCCTAGCATGACTTTACTTTGGCATGTATGAAGGTCGTATGCAGGACCTACTCACAATACTCATTTGTGTTAACTTTGATGGATTCATTTTTAAATAGTTTTCGGGTATTAAATACAGCTGTCTGTTTGTTGAGATAGGGTCTCAGTTTCTAGTCCTGACTGACCTGCAGCTCACAATGTAGACCAGGTTGGACTTGAGATCACAGAGATCTGCCTACCTCTGCCTCCTGAATGCTGGGATTAAAGGCACGTGCCACCACACCTGGCCAAATACAGCTTTAATATGCATTATATTCATATCTAAACCATTCATGTCAAAGCCATTTGAAGTCACTGCCACAGTAAAAGAAAACCAAAAACCTAGTCAATCAATTCTGCATGAGTAGATATTAAGTACCAATTCTGCCAAAAATTTATGGAGAAACATAATTTTGTTTCAATTTTGAAATCCTATTCCTCAGACTGTTTTTATACCAGGAGATTTTATTATATGAAGTATCTTAGGGCAAAGTTCTTTCATTAAAAATACTTGATAAATACACCCGGCGATGGTAGTGTGGATGACATGAGCTTCTGAGTGTAAATTAAGAGATTTTATCCCACGGATGCACAGAATCTAGCGATTTACTTACTAGCTTCCATACCACAGTCCAAATCATATCTAAGCTTTCCAAAATGTTTCAAATCTAATTTGCTGGCAAGGAACAGCTGTAGGCCAATGCCGACACCAAGGAAGGCTGCATGATGCGGTGATAAGCGCCTGGGTGATCAACTCACTTTTGTGATTATAGTGGGTTTTTTTCTTTATGAAAACAATATCATGACGAGAAGGTATGAGAGGTACTCACACCTCCTCTTTTCCACTGTACATGTACTGGACAGGACTCAGTTTAGGCTTCTGCAGGTTCCACAGCTCCACACAGCAGCCTAATCCATTCTGTTCTGAGCTGACACATCACTCAGACTCCCTGTACAGCACCACTGGCCCTGTCTTCCCACATGTGCATGTTAAGGAGGATAATAAATGAATCCTATATTCATACGGCAGCACTGTGGCCCAGCATTGCGCTGGGAAAGCCAGTGTTCTAGTGCAAGCCTCATTCTGTGTACATGGTAATTATATGGTAATGCTTTCTGAAATTAATTCAGTAACCCTCACATTAGAACTGAAAGGAAGGGTAAAGGAGCTGAGATTTAATCACATTGTCTTCTGGGAGCTTTACAGAAAATTCCTTTTACACATGAACTGCGCCATCGCCCCCACAGAACTCATGATTATTCTACTAGTACAGTGCAATTGCACACCGCCAGGACTGCGGCAACCACAGGCCCCAAACCGGTCACACACAAGGCTCTGGGAGAAAAGCGGAGTTTCTGATTTAAAAGGAGATAGGATATGTTCTTGATAATTATTTTACTTCTTAACTGGACTTCAGAATCTTAAGCAAATAGATCAACTGTAAATCTTAGAAGCAGTGAGCAAAGGTGTGAAAGAACAGTCATGGCCGGGTGATGATGGAACTACGAATCAGAAAGAGAACTATGAAAATACGCAAGCCACAAGACTGAACCCAATCCAGGGTTGAGGCTATAAAATAACCATATTTTGGGTGAGAGTTTACGAATACCCATGGTTCGCTCCATTTCTTAAAACCCATTTGCACAATGCAGCGTTCCCAACCATCTACTGTTCTGCAATGTCCATGGTCATGCTAGATTTTAGCTTTTCTGGTTCACATCATTAAATCACTTTTCTATTCTCAGCCAGCAAGCACATCCCAACTCCTCATCTGTTAAAGAAAAAAGTACTGCGTTTTTTCCTGAGCTATAAAAAGAAACCAGGGAATATTTTCCCATATCAATTTATTTTCTGTCATCCTTGACCTGAAGTCAAAACGGTTACAAGAGAAGATAGATTACAACTGCCTAAGAGCCGGGGATTTGGTAAGGTGCTGCATGAAATTACTAAGGAATAAGACACTGCTTGGACATGACTTCACAGACACTAATATCAATATAAACAAACTAAAAAGATAAAAATACATATATACAGAAATGACAGTTTTTGATCCTATCAGTTAAAGTATGCCAGAGACTGTGGCAACACCTAGCTTACCATATTTGTCACTAACTTCCCCAAAGGAAGGGTTGCCCCAAGGTTAATGTGGCCCAACCACTGTACTGCTAGCTCTGTGAGAGCAGGACTCAGTTCATGCAATACCTGCTACAGGACAGCCCCATCTGAGGGTCTGATGTAAGTGATTCCAACTACAAACCAAAAGAGGCTATGAGCAAAGCAGTAATATTTAATAACAAGAACTGTGATGAAGCAATAGTGAGAAGTAACATGAGTAAATAGCTCTCTCAAAATGATTAAGGCAAAGGAAATTTTATTCAACTCAGGGAGAGGTCACAAAAATAAGTATATGTATTTTGGACTTATTTTTAGATATTTCAGGAAGATATTTGTTAACAGATTTGAAAAAGCTGAGGCTGAAGAGAGATGGTAATTGACAATAAAATCTGTGTCCCAACGTATTTTTATTTGTTGCCACTTGGCAGAAACTAGAGCATCTCTGGGGAGGGTAAAAGGAGCTGATACAGCCACACTGAATCTACTTGATCTCTGCGTCTGTAACTGATATAACAAAAAGACCAGATCCAGAAGGCTAGAGGAAGGAAAAGGAGAAATACAAGGTCAATGCTAGTATTCGTTTTTTTTTTTTTTGCCCCATGCCTGACGGAGGAAGTAGGATTAGCTAGCAGCTAACTCACTGCTAGGCTGCATCACGATAATGTTAGAAGACACGGATTTGGGCTCTCTCCTTAGTTTTGGCAGAGAAGTACTCCTTTTGCAGTTTTCTAGTTGATCAGTGTGCTAAATTCATCTTTGGTCCTAACATCTGATTTCTGGCTCCCAATCCTGATTTCTGTTCTGATGAGCGATGGGATCAGGGTCTGGGCACACTTATAAGGGCTCTACCGCTGAGTTACACCTGCACTCAGTCTCTAGCCCTGTGTCCTTCCTGGATCATGGGGGACGGGGTGTATGTTTAACACTTTTAAACACTGCTTTTTCTGCTGATGTCCAGCCCTACCAGGAGCCCATTAAGAGCCACCTCATGGTGCTGGACAGATTGCTCAGTAGTTAGGGACACTGGATGCCCTTCCAGAGGACCCACATTTGATTTTCCAGTACATATATGGTGGCTAATAACTGTCTAGCTCTGACGTCTGTTTCTGGCCTCCACAGGCATCAGGCATGTAGATGGTACACAGACATACACGTGAGCAAAACACTTGTACACATAAATTAAAAAGAATAGCTTCAGCTGGGAGGTGGGACCTATAACCCCAGCCCTCAGGAGGCAGAGGCAGGTAGATCTCTGTGAGTTTGAAGCCAACTTGGTCTGCAGAGTGAGTTCCAGGACAGCCGGGGTTATGTAGTGATAAACAAAACAAAACAAAAGTGAGAGAGGTAGTTTCCACCCAAGGTTCTGAAGCAAATCAGCGACAACTACGTGCGGTGCAGACTTGGGGGAAGCAGTAACTCGCTGGGCTCGTCCCTGTTTCCCCATCGCTTTCCTTCACCACTTCAGTCTCATCCCCTGAGGTTTCCAAACAGGAGCTAAAGGAAATGACCTTGAAGCATGGATTATAATGGTTAATATATTTTGTCAAATTTTACCTTTATTTATTTATTTTTTTAACAATTATACTAGTGAGTACCAACCCCTAGGGAGGCTGAGTTACAGAGCAAGAAGGGTACACTCCCAGGTCTGGCTCCTCAGCAGGAAAGGGTGTTAGGTGGAGGGAAGAGAGATGCTGGTCTCCTTGCATTGGCTGCAGATGTACAAGGCATGTTCTAAGTCTGAAGGGGAAACCATCCGCACACCTCAGAGGCCGCTACTTCATACAGACACTGGGATGCCTAGTGCCCTGGTTACTGGCCTCTTCTAAAAGCCACATGCTGGAACCTGTTTCCCAAAAGGCCTTAACAGTGGGTAAACGCAATCAAGAAGTCAGAAGAGAAAAAAAAGGTGCCCTGGGATAAAAGGCAATGAGTCTACAGACTCTGCTGGCTCTAACTTACTCGTAACAGCATCCAAGTTGGCTTCCTGTATGCGACCCTCAGTACCCAGTCTGCGCACTAAAGGACAAGCTGAGAAGACGGGCTCTCACCTCCAGCAGCTCGTCTCCAACCCGCATCCGTCCATCTGCAGCAGCAGGCCCCTCCGGTTTGATGCCCACCACGAATATGCTCATCCGTGACCTGTCCTTATTGCCAGCAAGACTGAGCCCCAGGCCATTCCTATCCTTTTCCAGCTCGATAATGTGCAGTTCTCCAGGCAGGTCTGCGTACCTTTGCCGGATCTTTTCTATATTAGAAATGGAAAAAAAAAAAATAGAGCATGAGTCTTTATTACTGAGATGTCAGCATTCTCCCATTTTAGTGTGGTTCATCTTCAGGGCTGTCTTAGAATAAATCACTTAAGGCTTTCATGGCCTTGAGGGCAAGCTATTGCTAGCAGTTACTTTTATCTCCACATAAGTTTAGACTGCCCACCAAACTTCTCACTTCTGGTTCCCATTAGCTTAACTTTTCATGAACTGTTTCTTTCCTTTAGAGAGTTACCAAAATATGGATAAATCATGGCCCCAAGCCTCCATCTTGCCACAAAAGTTTAGAAAATTTACTAACTGTGAGGAATGAACAAAGTATTTGGCTTTAGAGGTAAATTAGTGAACCAAACAGTTGTTTCTACTCTCATAGACTTAAGATTTGGCCAGAAAGAGAGTCAACAATTTATTACACTTAAAATATATCTTAAAGTATTTATGTTTGTCATGCTAGTGATTGAACCTCGGGTCATGTGTGTGATTGGCAAGAGGTTTTCCAGTCGCCCATAGCCTCTACCCTAAAATATACTCTTGAGAATATAGAAACAGCATAAAGTAAAACTGCATCAAGAAAAAGGAAGGGTAATCAAGGTTGTCTGTTGAGCTGTCGGATCTAAGAGTGATCCACAAACAGCCACACACCCATCCATCAGTGCACTGTCTCGTCGCTATGGAGCTCTACTTCTTCATTATGGTGAAGGTCCTAATAAGCCATGGTTTGGACATGTTCAATAGTTCTAGCTTTCCATCTTCTCCCTCACCTTGTATGCTGGCTAGTTTGTCGCTAACATGACATAAGAAAGCATGAACTGGGAAGAGGGAACCTTGACTGAGATAATGGTCCCATCAGCTTGGCCTACAGGTGCATTATCTCGATTGATGACTGATAAAGGAAAGTCAGCCCAGGTGCGCAGTGATCCATGGTTATATAGGAAAGCAGGCCGCTTCAGCCTTGAGGAACAAGCTAGTAATCAGTGTTTCTCCACAATCTCTGATTCAGTTCCTGCCCCTACTTTCCTTCATGAGGGACTATCAGCTATAAGCAGACATAAGCTTTTCCTCTCCAATCTGTTTTTGGTCAGTTTTTTATTACAGAAACAGAAAGCAAGCTAGAAGGCCCTGTCACCTCTACACTGTGGTCTAAACTTCCCAGCTCAGTTGGGCTGGTTCCATACAACAAAACCACACCAGTGGATCAACAGGAGACGATACTGCTCACAGCCGCTCTTGCATACCACACAGTGCCAGCTCAGGAGTAAATCACAGAAAGGAAGAGGGAAAATAAATGTAGGTTTAGATGACAATGCCTATGGACTACTGGGACACAAATTCCATGCTGGCAGATGCACACATGTATATGACGAAGCTGGATGTGACAGAAAATGCTTTTAGGTCCAGCATGCAGGAAACTGGGGCAGGGGGATCCTTCAGTTCAATGGCAGCCTAAGCATAAGTATATCATATGCCTTGATATGTATATCAAACAAAACAAAAATCCAGAGAAGGCAAACAATAGAGATGTATAGTGTGTGTGTGTGTGTGTGTGTGTGTGTGTGTGTGTGGTTTTTAGGGCTGAAGTGATAGCCTACTGAACCTGGGATCGCTGATTGATGAGCTCGGTGGCCAGTGAGCTCCAAGGGCTCATCTCATCTCTGCCCCAGTGCTGGGCTTTCAGACCTGCTTCCGGCTGGAGACCCAAGGCAGGCTACAGCAAGCACTTTACCTACTGAGCAACCTCCCGCCCACTTTTCTTGATGTCATATCAGTTCTTGAGCTGGTATAATTTTATTTTTCTGTTGCTGTGCTTCACTGAGAGCCTGGCTTCACACTCAGTATGTGACTGAGGATGACCTTGCACTTGTGGCCATTCCATCTGACCTCTCAAATGACAGGAGTGACGGGCATGACACTCTTGCCTGGCATGCTCTGATTTCTCCCTCCTCTAACAGACAGGAGATTCAGCAAGGGAAAAAAAACAAAACAAAACAAAACAAAACAAAAAAACCAGACTGCTTTCTTATGAAACTTGTTATGTAATCGCTAGTTTGTGGTTCAGATCTGAAATGTCCTCACTGCTTCTGCATAAAGACTTGGTTCTGTAACGGGGCTAGGCCAGAGCATGGGGACTGAGCAGGTCATAATGGTTCTGACTGAATCAATGAAATAATCCACGATGGATTCATAGCTTAAGGGACTTGGGGAAGTGGGTATTGTTGTAAAAGCAAACTCTGTTTCCTGGACACCATGAAACACTTTAACATGATTCAAACTAAGAACATATTCGGGAGACAGATGAATCCCAGGAATGTAAACACTTAAAAGTCAGGAGATCTTTCATGGGTGATCACCATGGCAGGAGCCTAAAGGACAAAGTTCAAAGATGATGTTCATAGGTAGAGATAGCTATGTATTTTTAAGATAAAGAGGCGGTGGTGGCGCACACCTTTAATGCCAAAATTTGGGAGACAAAGGCAGTGATCTCCAGGTTGGAAGCCAACCAGGTCTGCATAGTGAGTTCCAGAACAGCCAGGGCTACACAGAGAAACACTGTCTCAAAAACAAAACAAAACAACAACCAAAAAAAAAAAAAACAAAAAAAATAAACAAACAGCTGGGAAAACAGGATATTTTCTGATGTTATATCCATCCACAGGTAGAAAAGAAAAACAAAGAGACGCAATAAATAAATAAATAAATAAATAAGCAGAAAAAAGACATCTAGCTCTAACACATAAGCTCAAAAGGCACAGGTATGCTAGGAAATGCTTAAATTTACTAGGAAGTTTAGAATTTCAAATTAAGTGGGATATCCAGGGCAGGGTTTGTAGACCAGGAATGGAACCTATTATGCATGAGGCCCTGAGTCCCATCCCCCCACTTCCATTCACCCAAACAAATGATTATCAGAATAACAAATGAGACATTAGGTCAATCAAAATAATGCACATTAACAGACTGCCAAGGATAAAAAGCTTATCCCCAGCCTTTGCAGAACTAAGGACATATACTGGGCTGAAAGTGCTGATAGTCACTGCCACTCTGAACAGTTATCCAGCTTCAACTGCTTTAAACCAGCAATTCCAAACTTGCTACATGCAGCTTCTCAACGTGACATTAAGACATAGGTGTTGTCCTCTGAACAACACCTATGAAGTTGACCAAAGCCACTTGAGAAACATAGGGTTTATTCACTCACAGTTCTATATAACAGTTCATTATGAAAAGCAGGGAGGGCAGGAACTGAATCAGGGCAGGAACCTGGAGGCAGGAGCTGATTCAGGCCATGGAGGGGTGCTGCTTACTGGCTTGTCAGTCTGCTTGTTATAGAACCCAGGACCGCCAGCCCAAGGATGGCACCACTCACAATGGGCAGGACCCTCAATCACAAATTAAGAAAATGCCCAACAGGCTGGCCTACAGTTCCATCTTCTGGAGGCATTTTCTCAATTGAGGTCTCTCCTTTCAGATGACTTTAGCGTGTGTCAATCTGATGTCAGCACAGGTGTCAAGAGGACATGGAGGTTGACTCCAGTGCTATCTACGACAGCAGGGAGTTGGAGGTAACCACAGTTAGGGATGTCTCAGCATGACACAGGTGGTGAGAGGCAAGGCCTCAGTGCTGAGTGACAGAAGAGGAACAGAACGGAACCCACACCGTTCCTTATCATTTACTCAGTACGTATTTATAAGTGTGTACACACAAAAATGAACACTTAGAACAATTAGAATGATTCCTGCTGAGGGCAGAAAGGGGGAGGAGTAAAAGGGACTGAGGAAAAGCAGAGGCCTAAAGCAGTGAAGGTTGAGAATGGGATGGTTGTAGAAAGACTTCCATTGGCATAAAGAAAACTCCAGGTTCACAACTCCCCTGGGCTCCACAGAGAGAAAGCAAACTCTACTGATGTCATTCACCATGCATTCCATCGCTTGAATGTGTAAGCCAGTAAAGAGAAGGAGAACTCACCTGTGGCAAACCTCTCTCTACCCAATGAGCAGAAGTGTGCTAGGCCCAGGGAATCTATAATATTCAAATGGACTCCTAGCGGGTTAGGGTGGAGTAGATAAAGGGTCAAGTTTGAATGCCGCTGAGTCACTTAATGTCTTTGGTTTGTGAATCTGCTACAAGCACAACCTATTTATAAAAATAAGGCTTCCTTAAAAGCAGATGATGAAGAGGAAAGAGAAATCATGATTTGTTCCATTGCTTGGCTAATGGTGTTTGAAATCAATCTTGATGACAAAACTATTATTTTCTTAATTTTGTATGAAGAAAACTGCCTTTAGAAAGAAAATGAAGTTTCTCTCATGATGATATTTAAAAAACAACAACAACAACAAAGCCACAGAGTCCCACATAGTCCTCACTGGGAATCCCATGGAAAGGACCAACACCATCCTCTACCCCTCCGTGCTATTTCTCTGAACGATTCCCTATGAAGAGTATCAGGCAGACTTCTCAAGATGTGCAGAGACCACTGCAGGACCAGTGCTGCCCGTGGATGTAAACCACACTGGGACAGCTTGACAGCTGACAAAAATAGTTTCAGTTAGGAATGATGAAAAGGCTCTGAGGATACGTGGGGACGGCTGTACCATAGCAGTGAACTTAACAACAGGATATCCAAACATTGCTAAAATGGTAAATTTGTCATGTTCTTTAAACATACACATACAAAGCCCTATCATGACTCTAATGGACTTCAGAAACTCCGTTTTCATAGTCATCCATATAGGACCTAAGAAGTAGACGTATTATCCTCACTTCGTGAGACTAGAAGGTTAATTTTCCTGGCCTGAATTTTTAATGCGACAATTACACACCGACTGAGTCAATGAGCAAATATTAATGGAATCCACTTGACATTAAAGTTGTAAAACAAAAGGAATCCATTTGGTGAAATCTGTCACAAGCATACATCTGACTAGTTATAACTAAGAAAATAAGAGCTTCAAGGAAAAAAATATAACCCAAGGGCTG